TAGCAAACCAGATGAAAACACATGAGGAACCCTATTCCTTTCAATTGCAGCCTGAAAGCTGATATATTACATGTCTGCATGCAATAAAACCTTTTTTTGTTTCAGTGTTCCTAAGGAAGCTTGAAATTAAATCCTTGCGAAACATCTGGTTCAAAACTTCAGCATTTTAATATGAAATGCTTCCTGAAATCTGTTTGTGTAACTGTAACATGTAGGTTTGCTTCATAGCTTTATAATAAACTGTTTCTAACTCATTTTGTTATCCTTGCACTGACTTTGATATCTCCTGCTGATAACATAACACCAGTAATAGTGCTACTCCAAGTTCAACAGTTAGCTGATATCCCAAGCACAAATTCTGAAGATAACTGCATAATTTTTAGATTTCAGCTTCATATTGCCTTACATTCAACTCTAAGGTTTTAGTTCTCTGTTCCTTAAAATTAATTAAATTCCTTTATGTTAGAGATTTGTCTTCCCAAATACAGTGTTCACTATCCCAATAGGTCCCTTCTGCAATGTCTCTCGATAAGGTGTGAAGAAACTTTGCATGCCCCTGTGAACAACAGTTGTCACGTTATGGCTGGGACCGGTATTTAGACCTTCATGTCAAAGCCCTGGAGGGCTTGGAAAAAAAAAACCTCAGCACTGAAGTGGAAGATTTTTTCCACACCTAATAGTCACCCTGAGCATGCATGGACAGACAAGGAAAAGGAAATGAGAAAAGGCTCATACATTTTGAAGCACACTAAGCCTTGTGAAGATGGTCTTGCTGACCTCAAAAACTGTAGCTTAATAGTTCCAAATAAAGCCACGGTAAATCTTAGCATGATGCTCTACGTTATGCAGGCCGATTTCATGCCTTCAGCTGGTTTCACGTTTGTGCTGAGCACAGTGCAGAGTCCTGACCTGGCACTGCCTGACCCTCCTCCAGACAGGGTAATTGTGTTGGCCTGGCTCTGAGCTGCAGGGCTCACCAGCTTTGGGATCCTGTCATGCTAACACAGCTGTGCTACTCCGGGGCCTAGGCTGGTATTTTTGCAAGATGTGTAGCTTAGAGTAACTCTAGCTATCCAACTTGGGGTAGCCTCAGCTCCTTAGTCTGAGGCCTTCCAGCATGACTGAGAGCATCTCAGGAGCTTGTCTCTCCGGGCTACAGAAGGAGCCTTGGTTCCTAACTTTGGCTACTCAGGTAGAGCTCAAAGACAGACCGAAGACAAACTGAAGGAGGGTTCCAAAAGCCTTCAAAATACAGGAGAAAGCAGAAACCACTCAGGGGCTCCTGAAGTACTAGAAAGGATTAAAAATAAAACAAAACAAACTTTCCAGAACAGAAGTTCAAGTCTATAGCCTTAAAACTTATACTAACTGTTAGCAAAGCTTTGTGCATACTTTAGATTAGCCATGTAATTACACTATAAACCCCCACTAATTAATTGACTTAATTTCAATTGAAAGCAGTGGAACTAATGGTGTGTTTATAAATAAAGCTAATTAAGATTTTTTAGAACTGGGCACTGTTTTATAAAAGTATTGAGAGATTTAAAGTCAATATGTAGAACTTTGCATGACTCAGAGAGTCTATAAATACGTACAGGTATTTTCAGCCTGATCATTATATGACTGGCCTAGCTCAGAAAGAAATGTGAAAATACATAGTAGGAAACAACTCTTCCAAACAGCAAATAATTGTGTAAATATATAACTGGAGTAAAATCCTACAGCTGATGTATAACACAGGAAATTCCATTTCAGCATATTTCTTGATGCTTAATCCTGCCAGGTGGACTGGATCAACAAAAAGGGAGAAGTCACAGTACATCGTGAAAAAATGTTGTACATTTGTGGAGGTCATCCAACAGGACAGAAGGAAACTCCACAAAGCAGCCACAACACTCATCGCTCAGGTTCAGCTAGGTTCAAGCTCAATGCCTATCTGTATCACTACAATTATTTACATTTCAATTTATCAGTATCTTGCAAAAAGCCTATTTTTACTGAAATCCCTTTTCAAGCTATTGCCTTAATTTTTTCCAGTATATACATATTAATTTTAAATAAAATTTAGCAGTACTAGAATAACGGTTGGGGTGGGGAAAAAGACGCTTTCTACAACTTGCTCATAACAGCTTCTTCAGACTGTCTCCAGTATGACTCAATATTAGAAGGGTACACTATAATTTGCAACAGCCTCAGTGAGCACTGATTTATCTGCTTGGCTCCGAAAAAATGAACATGTCAGCACAATGTCATGACATGGCATACTATAGCTGATTGAAGCACTCAAATTCAGATGAAGATGAAATATTAAGAGGAAACTGTTGAACGCAGCAACCAAGAGAAAAATTGGACACTCCATAATAGGTCACTGCAAATCAGATTTGGAATGTTAAAAGAAAACAAGTGGCTATTTGATATGAAACCTGAAGGTATAATTGGTGAGATTTTTGTTTAATTAAAGTCAAAACAGAAATAAGAAAGGAAAAGTTTTCAGAGTGAGCACAACTAGTAATCGCCTTTCAGGAACAGAGTGCTGGCTTCTTAAGTGCACTTCAGCTTAAGTTTAAGCCCACGATTAACTTTAAAAGGCATACGAGCTCTAGACAATTTTGTCCTCAGGTTCCTTAGACCTCCTCTCCTCTCTCAGCCATTAAATATACATGAAATAACATGAGAGCAAAGAACTAGGATTTGGTGCTTTTGTAAAAAGAAATATATATATGTATGTCCTGGTTTGGCTGGGTTAGGATCCCAGCCCAGCCACACCAGGCAGCCGTTAGCAGTTTGGTCAGCCAGGGCAGCTGGCTGAGGGAGCTACAGGGGTAGCCCATCCCGTAATGTCATGGGTGTTATAAAGGGGGGAGGTTTGGTGAGGTGGGGGAGCACTTATGTGGTTCCTGCTGTGCCTCTTCTGGTTTTGCCCTGCTCCTGAGGACTGCTCTCCTGCTGAGTGTGATGGCTGCATATTTGTTTGGCTGAGTACAACTTTGTATACCTTTGTTGGTATGGGCGCTATTTCATTAAATCCGTTTTCACTTCAACCCATGGGTCTGCTCTCCTTTTCCCAATTCCCTTTCCTGTCTTGTGAGGGGTCAGTGAGTGACAGAGCAGCTGTTATAGTTTAGCCCTGGGTACGGGCTAAACGTAGACAATGCAGTAATGCCTACTTCCATGTGGTTACATAGTGGTTATAGTAAAGTGTGAGGAATAACATCTAAGAAAACGCAACACACTTTGCAATGTTCAAAATCAACTGAATCTGAGAAAAGAAGCCCCATGCATATCAGGACTCCATGTCTCAGCATTAACTTCAGTGCATATTTTGCTTAAGGACTGGCTTTGCAAGGTGCAAGTGTGTTTGACCAGAGACCTTCAGGAGATGGGCAATTGTGAAAATGAGTGGTAGGATCTGTGTCAGCAGCAGCCTCCAGTCTCTCCACCGTGGGACAGGAGTGCTGCTCTCCCTCTCTGCGGGGCTGAGGCCGCCTGATTTCTTGCAGATTCCTGTGAACTATGGGTGCTGTGTTGAAACTGCCCTTTTTGCTCTGGATTGAGTAAAGCTTTTTCTACGTTGAGTCAGGTCCAGAAAGGCCAGCAGTAACTTTTGGTAGTAAATGAGTATTAGCAAAGATAAATGCCAGAAATGAGGGGGTAAACGCTTGCAGTGAAAGATTAAAGTCTTTGTTAGGATTCGTTACACATGTAGGCTAATAATGTGCATTTCATAAGTGTCTGTAATAGATTGTCTTCCTTTGAGCAAATGTATTTTCCATTTACTCTCTATCCTGAGCCAAGCATGAGGCCCAGAGAGAGAGACTGCCGCTTTTACTTGAGCCCAGGCCCCAGGGGTGCTTAGGAGACAGTCTGGCCAGGGCATTGCGAAGTCTGCAAGGGTGCCTGCTTGGTACTGCCGCAAAAGAGAACTTGAAAGGTTTTGTGTAGTGATGAGCCTTGGTCAAGGAGTTAGCAGCATTTCAGTGAGCCAGCAATCCACATGTATTAAAATAAAATACATATTCCCCTCCCATCCATCATTTTCAAAAAATACGAGTGGAGTTATCTTCATTTTTAATGCAAATTGAGGACTTGCAGTTCCCATTAGAGCTAACAGGTTCTCCACTCTTCCTGATAACTTGTTTAAAAATAAACCCCTCAAATCTCTTGCCTAAGCAGCATTAATCACGCTAGATCTTAACCATCAATCACAATTGGCTTTTATGAACTATGATGTAAACAAAAAAGAATGGGATGTTTTAAAACTGCTGTTACAGACTGTGAACTACAGACATTTACTCTTTGACTTCAAGGGAGTATTATTGCCGAACATCACAAGGTGGGATATGATTTGCTAAAAACACTTGTCCATATTTTATATCAAGCATCTGTTAGCATTTAAATATCTCATTTCAAAGTACCCAAAACTTCATGCAGGTCAGATCCCAGACATATTTTGCACACATGGATTAACTGAAGAAAATCATTAAGAGGGCAAACCCCCAAAACATCAGCAAGTATAATGATGTACAGAATGCCAAAATTTGCTTATCTCATTTCAGACTCTACTCATATGCCAGCCTGCATCTGGATTCCTGATTTTTTTTTTTTATTTCTGTATCTTCAGAAAGTATATGAAGAAGGCCATTACATCTAGTGGGGTTTTTTTACAGCAAACTATGCTGAAGAGATTAAATGTTGGAAGCTATTTTTAGCCAAGCTAATTGTAATGATTTCACTAATTCCATAAGCTGCAGATGTCTCCTAAGGTGAAAAGCAAGACAATGGCAGAGCTAGTAAGGCAAAAGGCTACTGACTACAGAAAAATAACAGATCCAAATTACATTAAATTATACAGTTCTGCCCAACACTCCCCCTGGTGGTTTTGCCCACGGAGATGAGCATGAAGTCCCACACACGCAAAATCCTGCAGCCTAATGACAAAACGTCCCGTTAATAGGATTAAGTACCTTCTTATCAGATAAGTAGAACATGGCAAAATCCCTGACACTCCCAGCAATTAGATCAGAACACAGCCTGACCCCTTCCTGACGCAGGGAGCGATTTTGCAGAGGAGGTGTTTCAGTTTTAATGGTAAATATGTTGGGGTTTTTTTATTTTTCTTTGGTAAGGGGTTTGTATTTCTTTGCAAAGTTAATTGGTCTTTTTCTATATGTGTAAAGGTACAATATGCAAGTAACTATAGAAGTAAATCCAGGCTCTAAATAAATCCAGGCTCTTAATTTACATATGCACTTGCAGCTGGTAAGTGCATCTCCAAGAAGGCTATACTGGCTGACAGGAAGGCACTTAAATACTGTGTTCATTTAATCAGATGAGAACTATAAAGTGTAGTTGCATGGTTTCTAAAAAATAGACCTTTCTCCTCTAACTGCTTTTGGGAGGGAAATAAAGCAAATGGCATTTCTTTCCTTTATTTTGTAGGAATTTCTTTCAATTGCTGATGTTTGTTTACAAAATTGATCTTATTGCCAATTTCTTGGCACACCTATTTTTGCGTCTGCTGTATTAAGTATTATTCTGAAGGACAATGAAAGGAATTGCATGTTTGGAGACAAGGGAACAACATTCTATAGATTTCCCTTTTTAAATTTGGCAATAATGTTTAGTATGGATGCATTCATAATACGAACTAAGAACATAGTGTGAGATCAGTAATCAGTGAGTTTCACAAGTTAGAAAAGGGACAGACTGAGCTGCATAAGCTTTTGGTTTTATATATACTATATGTCCTGATTCTGTTACACCACTGTGCAAACTCAGTGGAATTCATCTAGCTAATCTGAATATATAATTACAAATGAGGTCGAGGTTCTTACTTGTGTGTTTTCACTATCATCAGTAGCGTTTAGGTGCATGTTATAGACCTTAGAAACCGTAGTTAAACTCAAAATTAATGGGAATTTGTATAATGCTTAGTAAACTCTACACCTAGGCATTTGAGCATCTTGAAGATGCTTACATTTAATTGCACTAACTTGCTGCTTTAACAGAAAGAACATGAAGTCCTCTTGGTTATTTATAATATACGTGCTATGGCTGAATGGTCATCAGTGTGCACCGACAAGGCAGGAGGAAATGAATCTCCGGGAAAACCTGAAGGGTATGTATGCTTGTCGTACCAGGGCTGTGCTGGAACCCCCTGGGCCCAGGTCTCCTCTGGTTTTGACTTCCACACACATGGGCATCAAGAGCACCCACTTTCATGTGTGGAGCTTAGAAACCATCATATAGCTGACTACATGCATACACACACAATGAGGAGATAAAGACCAACTGGGATGAGAAAGTAATGGGATTAACAGATAAGCACCCCCTTACAAAAAAAAGTATTTACAGCATTTTTATTGGTTATTTGGTCCCTCATAGATCATTAGAACATAAACTGAACCCAAAATTCAGCTCAACAGATTTTGAATTATTTTGTTTGTCTAAATAATCTTTGAAATTGTTTATTCTACAGTTATATACCTCACTGGAAAAGATGGTTATTACAAATAATTGAAATAAAATGAGTTAATTTAGAAAAAAGCACAGCTATTCTGCACATTCTCAGCTTTAAGCAGGGCTTTATTTTGTGGATAGGAATCCCAAGAGGACCAGCCATGAAACATTCCTTTGCTTCAGCCTACGTTAATAATATTTCTGTAACATACAAAAAGTTAGGGGAGGGGAAGAAAAATATAAAGGAAGAAATGACTGATGTATCAATGGGATGTGTTCTTGGCTTGTTTTGTATAGCACCAGTGACACTTGGGGTATTTCTGCAAAGGGAACAAATACAAAGGACACACAATCATGCAGAGCTTCAAGGTGCAACGTGTGGACCAACCCCAGCTTTCGCCAAAAGTCCATGGTCATTACTTTACAGGAATTCTAGAGATTGTACTTTTATGAAAGCAGGTTGAAGGCACCTGTAATCTACATTTTCAAAATGTGAAGGGAAGCTGTCGCAGGCTGCTTTCAGATCAAAGATAAATATATAGGTCATGTCATTAGAAAATTGATGAGTAACACTTGGAGATACCCGGAACCCAGGATGAGGTCCTGAGCAACTTGCTCTAGTTGACCCTGCTTTGAGCAGAGAGGGTTGGACTCAATGGTCTCCAGAGGTGCCTTCCAGCCTCAACTGTTCTGGGATTCAGTGATCAGCAGTGGGAGAGCCAAGTATATATCTTGAGTTAACACACAGCTGATCACTGGCAAAAGCTCTGGGCCGGATTCTTATCTGATGGAACTTGGCTCTGCATTATTCAGCATTCACGATCTCAAGATTTGCCTCTGCTATGTAGGGAAACACAGAGCTGTTTCGTTCTGCTTTGTCATCTGTGCATGACAATTTTTGAGAGTGTTAAAATCTGATTAAGTCACTGTATAATTTGGCTTTTTTTAGTATTATCTGAAGTTGGAGAGAAGTATGTAGATGAAGAGGTAAAGAAAGCTTTGATTGGTATTAAGCAGATGAAAATTATGATGGAAAGGAATGAAGATAAGCACGTAGATCTGATGAAAACCTTGAAGAAGAGTAGTGAAGAAAAACAGGTAACTGAAGTGCATCTGGGCTTTTTTGTTTGTATATTTGTGAAGTTGTGGGTATTTTTAAACAAAGATGAAGCAGGTTGTACATGGATTTAGCCTACCTCCTGGAAGTAGCACAGCATGACATTGTGCTTAGGCCACTAAGCAACCCAGAAGGGACCCCTTGGTGTCTCCCCTTTTCTGGGAAGGATGTAAACCCGATTGCATGTACACTCTGAGCAGCACACATCTCTTTATGTGGTCACAGGATTGATATGAAATCTGCTTCTGTCCCTTTCTCTCACTAGCTGAAGAAAACTCTCATGGCACCTCTACAGAGGTTCTCACTGCTTGTCTCCTGGAAGCAGGAGTTGGGCCATCTTTTACTAGCCTATCAGCAACCTGGATGTTCACATTTCAGAAGAAGTTAAAAAATTAGTTCATATCTGCCAATTTCTTAAGAGAGAGCTTGCCTGCTGGCAGGACCCTGGCAGACTAAGGCTTCAACCCAGAGGGAAGCTTTCAGACTGCCAGAATAAAGCACTGAACAAGAGCTCCGCCTGCCTCACTGGTGCCTCTTCCAGATTGTGTGCTTCTTTCGAAAGCTAGAGGTGAAGAGTTTCCATCTTTCCTCACAAACACAACTTTCTAACTGTGTGGCATACTGTTAATTTTTCCCTGTGTCTAACCTATTTCTAAAAAGAAACAGAGTGAGCACTAAGCAAAATACAGCTGAGTTACCACTAGTTAGCAAGGTCCCTTCTCTCAGCCCATCCTGGTTGCAAGGTATAAAACACGTCATCTGACACAACCTTCCTTGAGATTTGAGCGCTCTCATTGTATTCCGCAGTTGGGAGGCAACCAGCAGCAGCCTGGGCACAGTCAGGCTGATGGTGACCACCATGTAGAGATACAGAAGTTCTGCAGTAGACATTAAATGCTGTATGTGGGCTCAAATGTTACTTTGGAGAGAGAACCTGAGTTTTGCAACATCCAGAAGCCAGAGCTGCTGCAACAGCAGTTGAATAATGTATAGCACTTACTGCTTATTTCTAGAAATCCCCTGCATTGCTGGATTCACACCAGGGCAACTGCAAGCAACTGTATAAAGTTGTTCTGTGCGCAAGGTCCAGCAGCTCTGCCCTGCATGTCTTTATACACCTCAGGCCACAAGATGTTTCCCAGGTTGCTCTGCAAATTTCAAGACCTTCAGAAAACCCCTAAAGCCACAAACGATAATGTGCTCTAGAGAAAGCACCGGGGATCAGGGGGATTTCCAAAGTACTAGTGCAATGCCTAGGCTCAGAGCCATGTGCTGAGATGATCCTGAGAAACAGAGATTACTGTAAGTTTGCAAAAATACAAAGATCTGAACTATTGCTTTCAATGAAGTGAAGGAACATTCCCTCTTGGCCCAACATCTGGTAGTTAGTTAAAGCTATTCATATTAGCCACTCAGAAAGTACCTGATAGCTTTCTAACATCTTTAGAAACACCAGTATACTCCCACGATCTACGTTGTTGTTAGCTCTTACCGGATGACTTCATTTACACCGAACTTTTTGGGTTTGCAGGCTGTGCCTTCTGAGAGAATGACACCAGAAAAACCTTATAAGGAAATGTTTTTCAATTTTCAGTTCCCTCCATAGGTGACTGCAGCTGAGAAGACAACCCACCCTAACAGTTAGGGACTAGCAAAAAAAGGAATATAAATGGCCAAAATGAGTGACCAATACTGAGTTAACTATTTAGAATATGAATCTGAAAATTGCCCTCAAATAATTATTTTTTTCCTTACTTAGCAAGCCTTGCGACTTATGGATGAAGTAAAGGAAAGATTAGAAGAAGAAGAAAGACAATGTCAAGTAGCCTTGAAGAATTTATGGGATGAATGTGAATCTTGTTTAGAAAGTACCTGCATGAGGTATTATACAACTTGCAAGCACGGTTTGTCAACATTCAGAAGAAAGGTAGGAAGGAATTTTGTATCTGGGAAATACTCTTGAATTCACGTAACAGTTTTAGAGAGTGCACATCTTATTTTCTCAATACCCAGATCTGCCAGTTATATCAGGTTACCAAAATTAATTTGATTTGGAGGGTCTGGAAATGTGAAGTTATTTGGCAGAGATTACACGCGATTATATTCATTGATCATTGAGCCAAAATGAGTTTGGTTGCACCCTGGCGTGATTCCATGGACACTGATTATTCCCCTGACTCCAACAGAGTCACTCCAGATACACAGTGTTGTCTCTCACAGTAGGACTTGCATTAAGATGTTCAATAACTGTTTGTGAAAAATACCACAGAGGTTCTTTATGGTCCATCTGAAAATCAGCAGTGAAAAGTGTAGATATAGTTAGCAAAATTCCATGGGAAAAAAGATCACCTACTTTGACAACATCATTATTTCCTATATTTATTTTATTTTAAATCTACTCTTTAAGTAACAAAATAGCTTTAAAATTCTTAACTGTGTTTTAATAAAGGAAATTGTCGGCAGAGGAGATTCGTCTAATTCTACCAGAAAGAAAACATGCTTTCCTGGCTGGCACGTTATTATTACAAGATTTAACAAAACTGTAATCACATTTGTTATTTGGGCATATGCTTTAAGTGCAGCTTAGCAACCGAAACTGAGCAATTACTGCTACTGAAATTTTAGCCAGATTACCTAGCTTTCACATCCCCAGGCACGGAAAAATACAATAACTTAACAGTTAAACATGGTGTGTTTCAGAAGTGACAAACTTTAGAGCAAAGGTGCTTAATGTTTGTGCGTATTCTTAAAATTATTCAGGTTAAAATGTGGAGGATATTAAATTTAAGATTATTGTGATACTTTTGGCTTTTTAGATACCTCAAATGTATCTCTTGGACTTTCTAGAGTCTGTGGATGTCAGGTTGAAATCATTGCAGTAGAAGTTACACACTGCAATCACTGTCTTTGACTTCTTGGTAGCTTCCTCACTGAGCTATATGGTTTATTTGAAGCTTTCAAAGTAGAAATGTGACCAAAATTATTTTTTTTTTAAAAAAAAGGACAAAGATAACTGTGGCTGATGACACACAGGCAGCAGGGGCAATACTGGCATGGGCTGTCCCACAGTGCTGTTTCACAATTCACCTTCCCTCTGAGCTGCACCAGTGGTCAGATCAAGCAGCTGATCTGATTTTTTAAAAAAAAATAGTATATGTATATATGTCTATCTCATCTCTCATCTATAACTATACACGGGAGTTTGGCAGGGTGCTTCTTAACCTGTACCAGTTCTCTAATGCCATGAAGCACGGCTCCCAGAACACTGCCTCTGCTCAGGCCAAGGCAGTGCGTTAAAGCACAGAGCAGGGAGCCAGTGGCTGAGACCCAGGGACTGGGAACTCTGTAAAGCAGTTGACACTTGGCCTCCTCCATCATCAGCCCACGGACTCGGAGCCACTGTTTCATTGATTTTAACGGGTTTCAGTTTGCAGAAGGACATGAGGACTGAGAGAGGGCAGGGTGTT